CCCTAAACTGCCCCAAACACCCCCCCCAGTGCTGCCCCAATGGGGAACCGCCCCGCACCCCAAAATCCGAGGTACCCGCACCCCAAATCCCTCGGTACCCCCCACTCCCCCCGCAGGGCAAGGGCAAGCTCAGGACCTACTGGCTGCTGGGGGAGCGCGGGAGCAGCACCCGGGGGTGACCCCCCCCCCCCCCCCCCCCCCCCCACCCAACCCCCATCCCCCTGCTTCGCCCATGCAATATCGCTGAAATAAGTTTCAAGATCTTTCTAATAACAAATAAAAAGAAAATATCACAGACAATCCCCCCCCCCATCTGCACCCCAAAATCAGCTCCGGGAGCCCGCGGGGCACCAGGAACACAAACCCGACCCCCACCCAGGCCGGGGGCTGGGACCCCCCCAGATCACTGCGCCCCCAGACCCGGCTCCGGAGGGGACCCCCGGGGGGACACGAGAGCTTGAGGGGGGGGTCACGGGAGGGAGCCGTGGGGGCCGTGGGGTCTCCCCCCGCCGCCGGGGGTGTCACGAGAGCTCTAATTTTTGTAATAAAGTAATTAATAAAGTAATAAAGCTGCTGCGGAGGCGCTCGGGGGTCGCCGTGTGGGGGGAGGGCAGGGAGGGGCTGCGGAATTGGGGAGGGGTCGGGGACTTCGGGGTTCCCGGGGAGCTCCTGGGGATTCCCGAGGGGTCCCGGGGGTTCCCGGGGGTTCCCCCGAACGCCCGAGTGGGCGGAGCCTCCTCCCGCATAGGCCCCGCCCTCTGCTCCTCATTGGGCGAGCCGCCCCACTGTGCCCCGCCCCCCTGTGCCCCGCCTCTCAAGCTGTCACTCAAGGCCGTCCCGCCGCTCCTATTGGTCAATGGGGGGAGAGGGGCGGGACCTTCCTCCCGCGCGACGCTTCCGCTTCCGGCCGAGCGCCTCCGTCGCTCTCCGGTAACTTCCGGCCGCCGCCGCCGCCGCTTCCCCCCGGCCCGGACCCAGCGGGACCGGCCCGGCCCGGGAGCTCCCGCAGCGGCCCCGAGTCCCGCCCCCATAACCGGGACACCCCGCCCGCACCGGCCCCTCCTCCCCGCTCCGGAACCGGGGGCCGCTTTCCCCCCGTTCCCCCAACCGGGGACCCTCCAGCGAGGACTCCCCGCCTCCCCAATTACCGACCCCCCCCAAAAAACCCGCGGGGAGCCCCACGCGGCCGCCGAAGTTGGGGAGGGAGGGAGGAAGGAAGGGGGGGAAGCGCGGAATTCCCAAAAATCGCTCCCGATCCCGCCGGGCAGAGCTGGGAGGGGGCGCCCGGGCCCCGGCAAGGGGGGGGCTCCCCCCTCCCGGGCCATGGAGCTGCCCAAGGGCAAGGCGGGAGCGGCGGCGGCCGGGAAGCTCCTGCTCAGCTCGCTGCTGGACTCCAAGGACGAGCTGGAGGAGGTGAGGGG